ACAATGCCTCTCTGGCAGAGGTAGCAAGACTACAGCTCAAGGGGCCTGAGAGGCAGTTCACGGGTAAGGCCTTTGTCTTGCACGAAGCTGACTAGGTTCGAGCCTTGGCACCACATAAGATCCCCTGAGCACCAACCAGGAGTGATCCCTGAGTACTGCTGGGTGTGGCTTAAGACCACCCCTGCCCCATCACTACACACACAAACTGACTCTCTCTCTCTCTCTCTCTCTCTCTCTCTCTCTCTCTCTCTCTCACACACACACACACACACCACAAATCTAATGGCTATGCCTGGAGGTTGGGCATGTTGAGTTTGGGGCGTGACATAGTCCTGTGAGGGAGATTCACAGTGGGCAGTAGGTGAGATTCCTGGAACTTCTGGGAAGGGTCTGTCTCACTAAGATCACACAGGGAGAATCAGGCTTCAGTGATATCAGCAGCAGGGCCTTGGTGGGGAGGGAAAAGGTGGGGGGGGGGGGGAGAGAAGAGACTTAAGGACAGAGCCCCGGAGCCATCTCTATGCAGAGACTGAGGAGAGTTGCTCAGGGGTGTGGTCAATAATGAAGGAAGAGTGGAATCTCCAGAAGTGAAAAAACTGCACGGGTGGGCTGGAGCGATAGTCCAGTGTGGTGAGCACTTGCTCTGTATGTGACCAACCCAGGTTTGATCCCTGGAGCCCCATATGGTCCCCTAAGTACACCAGTATTGATCCATGAGCAAAGAGCCAGGAGTAGGCCCTGAGCACTGCTGAGTGTGGCCCAAAACCAAATAAGCAGAAGCATGCGGGCAACCAGCTCTGTGAAACGTGACTTGGACAGCGACACATACATGACTGGCTCGTGCAGTCTGGCCCTACGCAGTGTGGACACCTGGGAAGGAGGAGTCTAGGCAGTCTACTCTTGAGCTGTCTTGCTCCAAAGCAATGCAGGGAGGCCGGGGCACAGCCACAGATACGTGGAGATGACAACGTGTCCAGAGGGACACCCCAGTAAAGACATTACGGAGGCAGGACCAAAAGTCTGAAACGAGCCTGCTGCATGTGTGGGGGTCGACACACAGGGGGCTCGCGGTGCCATGGGGAACACGTTCCTGGTGGTGGGGCTGCTGGAACACTGCAGGTGGGAGCAGGAGGAATGTCCGTGCGTTCAGGAGAGTAGAACAGGGGGCTAGCTGAGGGGAGGCGGGGAGGAGGCAGGGGATGACCTTTCAAGACGGGGGAGCGGAAACAGACAGGAGAGGTAGAGCCAGAGAGGGCTGCCAGGAGGACCCCACTGTCCAAGAAGGTGGAGCCAAGCTGAGTGACCGTGTGGACTTGGGAGGGAGGGAGGGAGGGAGGGAGGAGGAGTATACAGGAAGCAAGGGACTTCCCTCAGTGGGATGGCGCGGACAGGCTGTTGCGGTTTCCAGCACAGTGAAAGCGGCTGATACTGGATACTCATGAAGGAGGGAGACAAAAGAGGAGAGTCTAGGGATTCCCAGAGTTGCTTGAGATTGGAGGTGGGCGGACGTGGACGGGAATGGGGTGGTAATGGGGGTCAATGCTGGTGGCAGACTGCAGGCCACAACTTACAGGGGCCTGCTATGGTCTCTGAGCTTTGTACAAGATGTCACTCACAAAGTTAAAATAGAGGAGCCAGAGAGATGGCACAAAGGGTCAGGGCCTAGGCTTTGCATCTGTCCCCACCACGTGGTACCCAGGGCACTTCTGGGAGTGGCTCCTGATCACTTGTGGGGTGTGGGGCAGGGAGGAGATGGCAAAAAAGAACAGAAATCTTAGGACATTGAACATAATGAGTATGCTTTTTCTTTGTTTGGGGGCCATATCTGGGAATGCTCATGGCTCTGAGCTCAGGAACCTGAACTCACCACTCCTGGGGGGCTCAGGAAATCATATAGGATGCTGGGGGATCTCACCCAGTCAGCCACATGCAAGGTGAATGCCCTACCCACTATACTATCACTCTGGCCCAAAAGTATGCATTATTAAGACACTTTTCTCTCACATGCATGATAATATAAATGTATTTTTTTAACACAGGGGCCTCTCCCCAGCGGCTCTTGGCAAACCTGGGTCCCCTCACAGCAATACCCTGCTGGTGGTGTGGGCATGAGGGTTCAGTGGCGTGGGATATTCCAAGCCAGGGATTTAATTCACAGCCTTGCACATGTCACCAAAGCTATTTCACAGCCTTATATAGAAGTATTATTTTGGAATTTTTCACTGTGACCAAATATGTTACAAAAAAAATTTCCATTCTAAGTGTAGAATTCAATAGTATCAATTACAAGCATATCATTGTAAAATTACAACCACTATTCCCAATTTTTTTTTACCTCAAACAGAAATAGTATTGGGGCTGGAGAGATAGCACAGCAGGGGCATTTGCCTTGCACGTGGCCGACCCGGGTTCGATTCCCAGCATCCCATATGGTCCCCTGAGCACCGCCAGGAGTAACTCCTGAGTGCAGAACCAGGAGAAACCCCTGTGCATCGCCAGGTGTGACCCCAAAAGAAAAAAAAAACAGAAATAGTATTTTCAATGTGTAAAACATTTAAAAACAACACTTTAAATGTGTGTTTTAGGGCTGGAGAGATAGTACAGGTGTTAAGACATTTGCTTTGCATTCAGCAGACCCCACTTTGATCCAAGGCACATATATGGACCTCTGCATTGCTACGAGTGACCCCCAAGCACAGAACCCTGTGCACTATTGGGTATGGCCAACCCTCCTTCCTGCTGCCCCCCCCCCCGCACGCACACACAAAGGAAATAGAGCAAAAACCAAGTGTTAAACACAGCTACTGAGGATGTTGCTGAATATTATGCAGCTACTTAAGATATTTACTAAAAATCACAGAAACAAAAAAATACCCTGTCAAAACTCGGATTTTTTTTTAACAAAGGAGACTGAGGAAAGATCTTCACAATAGCAAAAGAAGCAAATTTAAGATAAAGGAACCTTGAAAAATCACAAGAAAAAATAGCCATGTGGATCTTGGAGACCTGATTGTCAGTAACCCCGACCCAAAAATAAGAATCTTCACAGCCACTTGGTAACAAGGTCTATGAAAGCTGGGAATTGGAGACATGAAGTAAAGAGAGAGAAAGTTTTGAGAATCTTTGCACCTAAGAAATAGAGATGTGGGGCTGGAGCGATAGTACAGCGGGTAGGGTGTTTGCCTTGCACGCGGCCAACCTGGGTACGATTCCCAGCATCCCATATCATCCCCTGAGCACCACCACCAGGACTAATTCCTGAGTGCAAAGCCAGAAGTAACCCCAGAGCTTCGCTGGGTGTGACCCAAAATGAAAAAAGAAAGAAAGAAAGAAAGAAAGAAAGAAAGAAAGAAAGAAAGAAAGAAAGAAAGAGAAAGAAAGAAAGAAAGAAAGAAAGAAAGAAAGAAAGAAAGAAAGAAAGAAGCTCCTCAGAGATCTAGTAAGATACATTGGGCTCCATACCCTGGTTTTAAGGAATGCTACTGTGTATACAAATGTGTATGAGAAGATACATGTGATGGTAACAATGTTCTTTGTGATCACAGGCAGTGGTTATGTTGGCTACTCCTTGCTCTCTGTTCCAGACCATGCATTACAGGAGATGGAACCCAGGATTACCATGTGCAAAGCATGTACTTGACTCTTTGACCTATTTCTACAGGCCCCAACTGTGATTTTTTTGATATCACGTGATAATAACAATAAAAGAATATGGAGGGCTTTGAGAAAGCTGATTCTGATCAGCACCAAAGAAAGCTGCAGGAGATTGGATAGTGAGATACAGAGAGATGGAAGGAACTTGGATTTGATTGGTGATGTTTGGTGAGAAGGCAAGCTGCTTTATAAAGATACTGTAATACTATTGAATAAGCTTCCAGTACCAGAACGGGACAACTGGAGTACCACAGAATAAGTTAAGCAAGACATGAAATAGACCTAGCCTTACCGCCAAAATGTTCCCCTCAGAGGTAACTAAAATCTTTACTCCATTTCCTTGCTATCTGGTTGTGGGCCAGACCCATAGTACAGTGGGTAGAGTGTTTGCCTTTTACACGGCAGACCCAGGTTCTATCACTAGCATCCCGTATCCCGTATGGTTCCCAGAACCCACCAGGAGTGATCCCTGAGCACGGCCTGCCATGCCCCCAAACCAAAAATAAATAAAATTAAAATACAAGGGCTGGGACTGAAGAGATAGTGCAGTGGGTAGGGCCCTTACCTTGAACGCCGCTGACCCTCATTCAATACCCTGCACCCCATGTGATTACCCCGAGCACCTCCAGAATTAATTCCTGAGTGCAGAGCCAAGAGTAACCACACACAGGCAAATACACAAAAAGGGTCCAAAACGGGGGGGAAATCTATGGAGAAATGGTATGACACCAAAGAAATAACGATCAGAGAAGGCGAGGTGATGCAAATCAGGCGTGGTGTCAAGGTAGGAAAGACTGCTTGCTATCAGGCTTGGGTTAGGGGATTCTGGAGAACTGGGGGCCAGATGCGGGTCCGAAGGTCCTGGTGGAGGGCTTGCAGAGATCAGCGACGTGGTCAAAGGAAACGCGCGTGGAACATCAGCCACTCTGCGGATTCAGCCCAGAGGGGTCGGGTTAAGGACACCCGGATCCTCAGCACCCCCGGCACGCGGTCCGAGAGAGCTGACGGCCCTGCCCGAGGGGCGCGGGAGCCCACGGGCCTCTGAGTGCTCCGGCCTGCCCCTCCCGACGCCCCAGGCGGCGCCAGCGTGCGCCTGCGCGGGCCCTTCCCACGGAGCCCAGCCGGAGCCCCGCCCCGGGCTCCGCCCCGCCCTCTGAGCCCCGGGCCCTGACAGGCTGAGTCCCGGGCCGCGCTCTCGCGCTGGCCAATGGGAGCGCGGCGCGCCCCGCGGCACGTGCGGCCCCGCCCGCCAGCCCGCCCGCCGGGGAGCCGGCGGCGGGGCCTCGGGGCGCGGACTCGCGGGGCGGCGGCGCGCGGGGCGGGGCGGGGGCGGGGAGCGGGCGGGGCGGCGCGGTGATTGGCCCGCGCGGCGAGCCGAGGCCGTTAACGGCGGCGCGGCCGAGCCCCGGCTCCAAAACAAAGGGCAGGCGGCCCGCGGGGCGGCGGCGGGGGGATGCCGCGTGCCCTGCCGAGGCGCCAACGGCCGCAGCGCGTCCCGGGCCGTGCGGGGGGCGCCTGAGAGCCGAGCCCGCGCCGACCGAGCCCAGGGCCGGATGGGCGCTGCGGGCCGGGGCGCGGACCGCCGAGCGGCCGTGAGTACAGGTGGGCCTCGACCTGTGGCGCGGGTGGCTCCCTGGGGTCGACCCCAGGAGCCGCGGCTGCGGGCAGTGCCCGGGCCGCACCTGTTGGGCGTCGGGGCCAGCGGGCGGGGCTCGAGGGGGCCGGACCTGCGGGTGTTTTTCTTCCGATTTGGTTCTTTGATCAGTTGCTCTTTGGCTCGGCGCGTTTTCTAGAGCAAACCTCGAAGTCGGGTCCTTTTGGTTTCCTCGCCCACCCCACTTCACCCCTCCCCCGGTCCTGTGCCCCTTTTTCTCCTTCCCCGCTCCCCGTCCTGGCCATGAAACATTTCACCGAGCAGGAACTGGACGTCGGACGATGCTTTCCCTCTTTTTTTTTTTTTTAAGAAAAAAAGGAGGGAAAATGAATGGGGGAGGGTCGCGATTAGGAAGGGCAATTTAAACCGGGGACGTCTCCTAGGTATGTGCTAGAAGGGAGAAAGGTTTCGGCTCGCCCGCATAAAGGGTTGGCCTAAAAGGAATTGTTCTTATTAGTTTACCACTTGTGGCACTTAGTCGTTATTTGAGCAGAGCCAGCCCAAAACAAAACCCAAAAGCCATCAAAGCCGTTAGCTTCCTAAATCTGCGAAGTAGGGCCGCACCTCCAGGCCCGCCTCTGATTAATGTGTTCGATGTCCCAATTAGGGGCTGGGGTTCATGTCAGATAGTGAATCTGCAGGGACGCAGCTCCTTGTTTTTCCTTCTTTCTCTCTCTTTAAAATGTGACCTTGCATTTGCTTATTTCTTCTGCAGATGTTCCCTCCCTGCCCTGCCATTTCCTCTGCCAAGAATGTCCTCTTTCCCTCCCACCCTCCTAAATGCCCACCGCCCCTCACCTTTTAAGTTGCTCCACCTGAGCTTCTCCCCCTCCCCACCCCTGTCACGTGGGCTTCCCCCAGCCTCTGCCCCATCTGGTGGCCACAACACCTGTTTGTGGAAGTCCATCCCTGGTCTAGGGGCTTGGTCCCAGGGCTCAACCCTAGTGTAGTTGAGCCTTGAGTCCCACACTGGTTCCTCCTAGCAGTGCCGAGCAATGTGGACTCCTGGGGGACGTTAGCGCCTTGTCTGAAGAATGCCAGTGCTTGGGATCAGAATGACAGTACAGTGAGTAAGGCACTTGCCTTGGACGTGGCTGACCCAGGTTTGAAGCTTCCCAGCTTCCTATATGGTCCCCCTTACCCTGCCTGGAGTGATTGCTGAGCACAGAGCCAAGAGTAAGTCCTTCACACTGCTGGGTGTGGAAACAAAAAGAGTGCCAATGCTCAGGACCTTCTATCCAGGCCCCATACTCCTTCCCCTAGTGTCTCACAGCGTTGATGGACCTGTGAAAGTGAGTCTGTGAAGAGTAGAGTTAAGAAGGCAAAGGGTGCACTGAGAGAGACCACTTCAGTGATGGCAACAATCTAGGGAAGACATGTGAGAGGTCCAGGCCCTTCTGAAGGGGCAAGAGGAAGGTGGTCATACTCAGGCTTGTAGCATAGGGTCTGGTGATGCACACATCAAAAAAAAAAAAAAAGATGGAGTGATCTTGAGCTTGATTGAGCATCTTGAGCCTTTCTTCTCTGTAAATGAAGGCATCACTTTGAAATGAAATTGACATGGGAACTGTGAAGACACCTGTAGATAACACCTCTGTGACCCCTACAGTTCCTGTCCTGGATTGCCACAGCACCTTTCCCACTGTGATGCTGACCTAGGTACAGTTCTTGTAACTAAATTCCAGGCACTGAATCTTTTGTGTGTGTAGGGTGGGTGGGGGGTGAGGGGCGCATACCCAGATCTGCTTTCAAGATTCACTCTGGGTGGTCCTCAGGGTGATGCCAGGGATGAAACTTGGGTCAGCTGTAGGCAAGGCAAGTGTCTTCAGCCCTGCGCTGTCTCCCCTCCCCTGTAAACCTCTGTATGTTGAGAGCAGATTGTTCCATTTCCTGGCCCAACATTTCTATATTTTTATTGGGCCACATCCCCAGCAGTCCTGGCTGGAGTGATTGCTGGGCACAGAGCCATGAGTAAGTCCAATGCCCAGAGAGCCCTGGGCAATCCCCACATTGTGGTGCTGGTCTGGAGATGCTGCTTGAGCCCAGTGGTGCTTGGGACCACCCAGGGGAAGCAGGGGAGCACCGTGTGGTACCAGGCTTTTTGCATGCCAGGGTGGTTCTCCTTGGCCCTTTATGTGTTTTTGTCCCTGGAAGACAGATAAAGTAGAAAATATTTCAAACAGGAAGAAGTAATAGAATTTTTCTTTAGATCGATTTTTTAAAATCTGAGATTCATTTGGAAAATTTTTAGAAACTTAAATATGATCCATGAAACCTTTAAGAAGTGGGGATGGATATGGGATTGGGGAAATCTGTGAACACAAAGCTGTGGAGGGTTGAGGGGTCTGGGGAGGGCAACGTGGAGGACTGGGCAAAGATGCACTAGGGCACTGCTGAGAGTGGAAAGAAACCTTGGGTCCACACTGTCATCCACACCCAGAGGGGACCCACCCCCCGTTATGGTACCTTCAGGGCCAGGAGCCAGAGTCTCAGTGCTTGTGATGGGGTTGAGGGATCGCTAAGGTCAGCCTTTGAATGGGGACAGAATCTCTCAGGACCCTGTGGATGGCCAGTTCGCCTTTGAACAAGAGAAGGTGTGGGCTGAGCAGAGCCTTGCTCCCTGTGGGGCCCTACCCAGGGTGCACACCCTGCTGACCACTGGCATGGGTGCACCACCCCCCAAGCCCCTTTTCACTGAGTGTCTGCAGGGGGCCTGGAGTGTTTGTCTTTCTTAGCATGGGATCAATAACACTGCCTTAGGATTCACAAACTCTTCTTTCATCCTGGTGTTGCAGGCCCCATCCCCATCCTCCCCGTGAGAGAGGGGGGCTGTCCTGCCTCTGTGCTTCACCAGGAACGTGGTTGGCCCAGGCAGGGGCTGTGGGAAGCTTCATTCTGGGGGTTGGGGGCGGGGGCTGAGAAGCGCAGGTTGCAGGTTCTTAGGAAAGAGCATTATTCATGGGCCTGTGGGAGGCAGTGGAGGCGAGGTGGAGGCTGGGTGGCACCTGGGACACAGGCGAGGAAGGAGCCTGGAGCCTGGGGTCCCTCGAGAGGCCGGGCCTGGTGGGCAAGCACAGGGTGCTGAGGGGTGTGGCAGGCTGATCCCCCTCACCGGACACAGTGCTCAGGGGCCACAGATCTACAGGGCGGGGAACAGCTTTTCAACTGCAGCCACAGAGGGAGTGAGTGCGCGTGTGTTTGTGTGTGTGTGTGTGTGTGTGTGTGTGTGTGTGTGTGTGTGTGTATGTGTATGTGTGTGCGCGCGCGCACATGTACATGCGCAAGCAAAGGAGGCTGGTGTTACCAGAGGCATTGCCCTTCTAGGTCTTTCCATGCCTGGCAAGTTCACCTACTAGGTACACATGTGCGTTTGGATGGTCAGTACAGACGTACAGAAAAACTGACAGAAGGAAGACCCTTCCTGTCTTCCTGTCTGCTGTCGGGGCCCAGGGTGGAACCGAGGACTCACATTCACCAGTGCCTTGACCAGCCTCGTGGTTGGACTGGAGGAGGAGGCTTCTTGTGTGGCCATCACAGCGTAGAAGGCCATCACAGATCATCTCCTGGGTTGGCCTCTTCCAGGACAAGAGCCCCAAGCATTGACTGTTGTCACCAACTGCCATGTCTCAATGGACACTTGCCAGAGGTGGCACCAGCATTTTGCTCACCTCTGCAAGGCTGTGAGGTGGCTCAGTCTGCCCCTAGATTGCCTCTGAGAAATGGGCTCACATCTGTTCCCGCAGTGCAGGCACAGTGGCCCTGGTTGTGAACTCTGACTTGAATGCTTTAAGAATGTTTTTTCTCAGGGTTGGGTGTTGGAGCCACACCCGACAATGTTCAGGGGTTACTCCTAGCTCTGTGCTCAGGGATCATTCCTGGTGATGCTCAGGAGACCAGGGGTGCTGGGGAGTGAAGCTGGGTCAGTTGTGTGGCAAGGCAGGTGCCCTTACCCAGGTGGTATCTCTCCAGCCTGGCTCTGGCACAGACTCCAGCCCCCAAGGACTGGCTGCACCACCTTGGGGGGGGGGGGGGTGTCGGTATCTTGTTGCTCCACGGAGTTTCTCTGACCTCCGGGTCCCGGTCACTTCCGCGCATCCGTGGGGACTGCTGAGCACGGTGCTGATGGGCCTGGCCTTGCGCCATCCCTGCCCACAGTGCACCCCCTGCTGTGGGGCTTTCCCTGAGCGACCCCACTCACCGGGTCGCCTGTGTGCCCGCTGCTCCGCTGCTGATTCTCCCCTTCCCGGGGGCTCGGGAGCCAGGTGGGATTTCACCTGTGGGGATAATGCTACGAGGCAGGGGCGGCCTCCATGCTACCCCCAAGTGCTGCGCTGTCCCGTGTAGGGTTTATTTCTCAAATGTGTTTGTCTTTAGAAGTATGGCAACAGCGCCATATGGACATGGGCCTGATTCACATGCTCTTAAAATAATCACACATACTTATTTTAGAGGAGAAACTTCTGGAATCCAGAATATTGTTTTTGTTCTGAAGCATTACCTCATCCCGATATCTCTTTGTGGGTGGCAGCTACCCCGCACCCCGGGAACATGACGCCCTGCGGGGGGCATCTGCTCCAGAAACACCAGCTCTTACCTTTGCTCACTGTGGTCACGTTGGCTCTGTGTACTTGCAAGCTCGGCTAGGATGCCCCCAGCCTCACAGGGTCTGCAGGAGTCCCTGGGACGGCAGTGGCAGGTGTGGTCAAATCCGTCTGGAGGCATATCCCCATTGTGCTGAGGCGGGCACCTGGGTCAAGGATGGCCTGGCACGGGGTGTCCAGTACAGGCAGATATGGGCAGCCCCGAGAACTTCAGAATCAACAGGAAACCTGGGCAAGCAGCCACTTTGCTTGTTCATCACTGGGGGGACCACAGCCAGCAGTGCTGGGGGGTCCTGCAGCACTGGGAGCCCACCAGCACCTCACACCTGCCGACCTGTGCTCCTGCC